AGAGGTATTGATCTCTCCCCAACACAGTAGAAGGTGGTGAGGGAATGGAGTCGACGATGGTGTAGCGGGTGGCGAGGCCGGAGATCGAGGGTGATGGTATTCGATGGTGAGGCGGCAAGGACGTCGGTGTAGTAATGGAGGAGGCGGCGGCGGCGGTGGTTGCGGTGGAAAGGGATGAGACAGCTTTTGAGAGGTTGGGATTTGGGGCTTTATGAGGAGGGTGCTTTGGCAGCTGGAGATAGAAGCTTGATCGAAAAGATAGGAAATTAAGAGGAGCGAAGTTAAAATAATAAGGTGGGCAGTCGCCTCCACCATTGCCGGAGTACTTAGTGATTTCCCATTTTTTTAAGCAACCCCAATGACAGGAATTCTTCAAATTTACGGGCAATGCCACTGAATAATTTCATGTATATCTGAATGAGGGAGAACAACATTGGCCCCATAGAAATTGTCTGGTCCTAACAACTATTTCAGTCTTAAAAGTTCACAAAGCTTTCAACTTAATGATTTTGATTGTTGTTATTTTTTTTTTTCTTGTAGGGACATAAATGAGGCCCAAGTATTGATAAGAGTGTTAAAATGGGTCAATAGGTTAGGTTTAGGTTGGACTCGAAGTTGACTTGGCTCAAATCCAACAATACGAACCAAACTTGGCTAATAAACGGGTCAAAAAATGGTCATAAACTCTACTCACTAGCAACCCGAACCCGACCCAATAACCCATTTAGTTTAAAAAAATATTTCTATTAATGTTTTAACCATATATCTAGGTTAATAGATAAAAATGATGAGATTATACCAACTACTAAAAGAATTTACGAAAAAAAAATATTAAGCGAGTATCTTTTAGTCAAAAACGGGTGAGTGGGTCAACCCGAACTCAACATGTTTAATAAATAGATCATAATGCATGACACGAACCCGGCCCCATTTATTAAATGAGTCAACATAAACCCTAATTTTTTGGGTTGGGTCTGAATTCAGTTGTGAGTCGGGTCATTTATTGACACCCTACATTTTCAAAGACCTTGTAAACATAATTAGATTATTTCATTTTACAAGATTCAAAGATTTTGGTCTGATAGGTGAGTTGTTGTCGTGCCAATGGGTCCCACTATAGCTCCGCCCTTCAACTCACTCATCACGAATAAACTTAATTTTTGTTTATTCCCAAATGAGTTTGCAATTGTATGATAATCTTCTAATATTTTATTATCTTCCTATAACATCTCAACTCTTTTTTTTTTTTTTTTAATCTATATTCACCAATAAATATTTTTGGCAAACTCATTAATCCATAATCTAATCTCAAAGCCATCCTAAGCATAACATAAAAGAGTGATAAATCGACTAATATTATTAAAATAAAGTTATGAACAAAAGCTTATCATAAAATAACTGCACATTGTGCCTCATTTGATGCTTATATTTGTAAAAGGGTAAATGATGTGCCTTCTTTTGGTGGGCCTCCATTTTTTTCTTCCTTTTGATGTAAGAACTAATAATGCTATCACAAACTTAGTTGAATTTGGAGTAGTAGATCTCATCCTTCATAACGTTGGCCTCATCTCTTTCTTTTCTTGATCCTTATAATCATTGAGCAAGAGAGTTGGAACTACTTTTTCTTTTGACGGTAGGCAAATATGAATGTGGTGGCATGTAAGTAGCAAACGTCGCCAGTAGGCTTCACAGGTAGTGTTAATTTTACCCACCTCGGATCTGGGTCAACTAGCACGACCTGATTTTACACAGCCTCACATAGTTTGAGTCCGTCGCCAAAGAGCTCCATTGTGTCGAATCAAGCGATACTTGAGTCCATCGCCGAAGAGCAACAGGTGCACATAATTGACTTTGATATCGTGGAAGGCGTACAATGAGTGACCAAAAAGATTCAAGGTTGAGGGAGCTTTTAGTTCTTAGTTTTTTCCTCTTGAGAGATCTTGGCCTCTAAAAATTAAAATAAATGTTATTTTATATCTCTTTTTATCCAAGAATAATTGATGAGACTCTCAAAACTTAGTATATCTTTCATCTTCTTATAAGTCTATAGAATGTATTGATCAACAACAATTCTGACTTTCTACAATTGTAAAAGAAAAATAATTATAAATGTTTAATAATTTAATTATATTATCTAATAATTTTATTGAGAAATAATATATGATGCATGCCAAAAAACCCCAACATAATTTTTTTTTTTTTCAAATGCGAGAGGGAACACTATTGTGGGCATTCACACGTGTGAGATCTTGTTGCATATTTTCATAGGAATTGTCATTTTCTTACAACTATAACCCTCAACAGGTAAATTTGAAATAATAGCCAAAAATCATCAAGACGATGATATGAGAAGACTCTTAGGCTTCGTTTGGGATAATTTTCTTGCTGTTTTCTACAACAGCTTTTTAACACGAAAAATTCTCAAAAGCATCGAAAAAATAAAAGAAAAATTCTCAAAAGCATCGAAAAAATAAAAATAAAAAACTGAAGCCTTACTGTGATGACAACAAAATAAGAGAACTTACTGTTAGCAGCTAGAAATGATAGCTGAAAAAAAGCATACAAAGCAGAAGAAGTGGATGCCTCTCTGCTTACTCAAATAGTATCTTTGACAAGCAAAACTTGCAGACTGAATTGAAAATATTGTCAAGTAGGCTTAGTTGATGTTAGATCATTGCACCTTAGTAAATGGTCCCAAAACAGCTTCACTAACTCTTGAACCATCACCTCCAGCAAGCCAGTTTCCATATCTCCTTCCTACAGAAAATTAACACAAAGGTTGGAATGAAGAATTGAAAGATTAGGAAGCCAGCAAGAGAGATGGAATGTAGCAATTCTGCAAATTTGTAGAACAATAGACTGATTGCTTCATATGCTCCACAGAATGAGAATTTTTCATCACCAAGACATAATGAATCAAGTATGCTCAATGTTGAATTTCAAGTCTATTTAATAAGTTTTAAGCTTCGTTTGTGATAGTTTTTTTACTATTTTATACCGCAACTTTCTTGCACAAAAATTTCTGGAAAGTAGCGAAAAGTCTGTGGCCAAAAACTATCCCAAACAAAATCTTAGTTTCAGAATAAGTAGATGCCTATGAAGAAAATGATGGCAATTAAGGGAGGTTAACACAACTTCTTCATTACAGAGATCACCAAAAGAAACTAAGGGGAAGGGAACAGAATTACATGTACAAAAAACTCACCATCAAGTACTTAGTTATTTCAGTCATTTTCAAAGTTACTTCAGTAGAAACCTCTCCAGTTGAGTTAGTAAAATCGAATCGATCAGCACGCAATAGCAAAAGCCTTATCGAATCGCTTTTTAGATCAACACGTTTGCAATGCCAGGCTCCTATAACACTGAACCGCTCAGCAGCAGATTGTTTACCAAGAGGCCATCTGAGCCCTCCTTTCACATCTGGATCTATTACAGCAGAACTTACTAGCTCGTTCATGGCATCATTTTCTTCATTCTGAAAGAAATTTAATAATAAAACGCACTACTTTTGCCAGAGATATTCACTTCAAAGTAACACAATATAACAAATGTCTCACATCAATGGTTTTCATTTTCCTTTTAGTGACCAGCAGTAGTCGAAGGTCTAGCTCCTTATTGAGGCAAGATATATCTGCCACTAGATGCCGCACTAGATTATATTCGATCTACAATATAAAAAGAAAAAAAAGTTTAGGGTAAGAAAACATAGCCACAACGCACATGCCAATAGTAGTTTAGTAATCATCAAATGTAACTTAAATTCTTTTAAGCTTATAATTGATAGTGGAGGTTATATGAATGTTGCATTTTAGGTTTCGTTTGGGACGGCTTTCTTACTGTTTCTTAAAGCAGCTTTCTAGCACAAAAATTTTAATTTTTAAACTAAAAAACTGCTTTAAGAAGCAGAAAGAAAACCGTCTCAAATGAAGGTTTAGTCTAATATAGATTGCATGAATTTAAAATCTGAGCCAAATCCACATTCATATAAAGCGACTTGTGAAGACAAAATGATTACTTTTGTATCTCGTAGATACAATAGATATGGAACTTCCATAACATAATCAGTTCCTAATGACACTTTTCATATCTTAAATAGTCCTAATAAAATTTTTATAATGAACCAAACAAATTGCCTTCAGCAAATTATGAATACTTTGATAGTACTATTGTCAAATTATAATAAAAGAAAAGAGAAAATGACTGAATTGATTCCTTAACTTTTTTTTGAAGGATCAAAACAATCCCTGATTATATAAAAGTATAAATTTGGTCACTTAATTCTTTAAATAAGTATCAAATTAGTCATTCCATAAGATTATTTAGGTCCTTATTTAAAGAGTCCAGAGACGAAAATGAGGCTTCTAAATAGTTGGTGATCATTTTGGCCCGTATCATTAAAGAAATTTTCCAAAATTAAGTTATCAGAACAAAAATTAAGATGCTAGCACCTACAATGGAAAAGGAAACTATGAAATAAAACAAAATCGTAAGAGCATGTTAAACAGATAACAGAGGAAGTGTAACCCAGAAGTCAGGTAAATCAGAGCTGAAGTGTATGATATAACAGAGAACTAATTAATAACAGTATTTATCAACTGGAGAAAATTGTAAATGTCTAATGCTACTAAACAACCAAAGATTTTTTATAAATGGATAACTAAATAATAACATACTGTGAATAAACCCATATTTTTGGTCATCTTAAGAACGAAAGTACCACCACCAAGCCAACATGGCATAAGTAATCCATTAGCGAGCCTACCAACAAACAGTCCCACACGTGCAGGACCCGTAGTTATTTTCTCCCCACTTAAGAGGTCGCGCAGCATGAGAGGGGATTCGAATATGACAACTTTATTAAAAATCAAACAAAGGGAAATTTATTAAACTTAAACTGATTTTATGAACCTCACAACAAAGCACAACACCAACATAAATATTAAACTAAAATCCCACCTACTTTTCACTGGATTTATCTACTTGAGTTTCTGCAGTACACCATATAGTTAAAAAAATAGTCCAATTCCATTGAGATTCTCCAATTTGTAGAAAGTTCAGAATGTATTCATAACTATACCAGCAAAGATACGAATCCAAAGAAATATCTGAAGAAAAACACTAAGAGAAATTCATCACCAAAAAGAAACTAGTCCCATCATGTTCATGATGATGATAATTTACTTTAGACAAGTAACGGTCTTTCAAGACAGGAATATTAGTAACACAACTTATCATACCAAAGCGAAGGACCCAAAACTAAGAACCTCAGACATTTGGGATGTGCTACATAAAAAATGCTATTGTAGATTTGTATCTTATACTTTAAGATAAATATATACAATTAAATAGAGGTTTTAATATCACGAAAGAGTAGCAATATAAATCAATGCCATGGTAAGAAAATTGTACCTTGTATAGTTCTAGTTGTCTGTTCTCCCTGACCATACACTTACATATAATAGTTATATCTGGTCTGCACTTGTCAGAAACCTAGCATAAAAAGTTAAAAGAGTAAAGTTTTCCCGCAAAGCATCGAAGTTAAAATTTCTAGAAAGTCTTAGTCAATCTTACTCAAGTAACAACAAAGGATCAAGCCAGAAAAGATATCTCTACACTGATAGAGAACAAGACAATCAGATGTGCAAATACCTTTATATGGTAATATTCTTTCTCAGAGTGAAATGTAAAACCAATTTTGGGAGCAACTGAAGTTTGGACATTTTCCATATATGCATTTGGAACATTTGTATAGAATATTTTAGGTAGTCTGTTGCTAGAATTAAGCAGTGTGGATGCAGCCTTCCTGATGGAATCAATGCTAAATGAAGAGCGTCTGCAGTGACAAAGAAACCAGTAACTCCCATTAGTTCGATTCAAGTAGTGAAATAAAATACAGTTTGTACAAACTATTATGTCAGCATTGTTAGATGTACACTCTTAGGGCATCTCCAACCGAAAAACTCATTTTTCACTCCAAAATGCAGTAATACACCAATATGCAGTAACTTGTCTCCAACCGTACTCTGTTTTCTAACACAAAAAAAGAATATTCCTAATATATTCTTTCTCATACTTTATTTTTTCACTACAGGAAAATCACCCATTTCCGGCGGTCTTTTCCGGCGGAAATTGAACCTTTTCCGGCGGTTTTGTAGTTTTCCGGCGGTTTATGTACCGCCGGTAAAAATGGCGTAGGAAAATAACTTCCGGCGGCAAATTTATCCGGCGGTCATAAACCGCCGGTCAAATTAAAAAAAAAAATCCCCCTCCCAGGCTGCTGGCGACGCTTAATAATTATTTGTTAAATCATTTAAATATTTTAAAATTTATTCAATTTCTTTAAATTTTTGAAAAGCCGCCGGAAAACGCCAAAAAGCCGCCGGAAAAGTGTCGAAAAGCAGACGGAAAATTTCGTAGTAAAAAACCGCCGGAAAAGTGCTAAAAAGCCGCCGGAAAAGTGGCCGCCGGAAAGCCGCCGGACAAGGCCGCCGGTAATGGGTGATTTTTCTGTAGTGTTTGAATTAAAAAAAAAACATCTAGGCGTCGCACTGTTCACCCGCAATCAAATAGCGGAAGATTTGGCGTTCAGCTGAAGAGACCGAACGATGTCATACGCATGTTTGGCGTTCAACAGGAGATGCCCTAAGCGCTTCGTAGAACTTAATAGCTACTTTCAAGTGCGAGACTTTTTAACAACATGAAGCTTGAATCTTTTTTCAGGTGACTTGATATAATTTATTTAATCTATGATGTGTGAAATTGAAGTATTGCCTAGTGTGATACGTGTTTGATTCTTTTCTACAATATTAATCTTAATGATTACTAAAATTTTATATTCATTCTTTATTGTGTGTTTTCATTGAGCATCTTATCTTAAGTTGCATTAAATCCTAGACTCTAAACCATCTTATATCAAATTAGTATAGGGATTATGGATGTGTAATTATCTCATTTAAATAGAACATAATAGTTGGATCCTTAAGAGAATAAAATTTTGGATTTAAGGAGATTGGCTCATTTAGAAATTAAAATTAATATGTTTAGAATTTAATTTGCATGACTGCTTGATAATTAGATAAATAGTAATATAATAAATAATTTGATAATTAACACATAAATAATTAGTTTTAATTAAGCTAACTTCTAATTATATCACTAATTATCTAATTTAATGACAATTATACAACAAATAACTAATTATCTAATTATATTACTAATCATCTAATTATCTAATTATAATCTTAACTTCAAATTATATTAAACTAATTTAATGATAATTATACAACTGATAACTAGTTATTAATAAATTGTCAATATTAATTAAACTAATGCAATGACAATTAGACTATTAATTATTTAATTAAACTTAATTAGATTACTTATTTATACAATTTTTTATTAGACTAATTAATAATCTAGGGTTCGGCTTCGTCTCTTTTCCTCATCACCATTTCTTCATGGCTGCCTCAGTCGCGTGTTGTATGTACTTCGCACGATGGAAGCTCGCTCGCTGCTTCCTTGTCTACTCAAGGCAAAGGTACACGAATGGAGCAATGAAGAAGAATGGGAGAAAGTTCTTCTTCACCTTATCAGCTTGTCAGATGCCGGCGAAGCCCCATGAGCCGCCACTCAAGGTTTTGCTTGTTCCTCTTTGTAAAGATAAAGATTTTTCTCCCCTTTCGCGCTCTTCTTCAGCTAAATCCGAGTCCTTGGATCCGTAAATCTACCTCTCAATGGGATTTAGATTTAGGCAGATTTACACAAAAATCCCGAATTTACAAAAGCACCGGATTTACAAGCTCTCCTACTTAAATCTCATGAAAAATCCGATACCAGGTTTACTCCTGACTAAATCCAAACTATAAAGCCTAGAAAGAAAACAAGCTGCAATACAGAACACAGAGGGGTATTTACGATTCCCACCACAGTGCAAGATATGCTATATTTTTTCTTGGTTTGTACTAAAGCAATAATCTTATCTTACCCAAGGAAAATGTTCTTTCCAGGTCGAGCAACAAAACTGAGCTTCACCACCTCATCCCCGTCCTGTTTCAACTCGTTTCTAGCGCCTAGCGCAGCAGTGATCAAGTCGGGCACTATCCTCTCTGCTATCGACACCCAAGGCGGTATATCTTGCCCTTCAGCAGCACTCTCCTCCAACTCCCCGCCGCCCACGAGAACCAACGGCTTTTCGCCATTCCTCCGCTCTACGATCTCGCAATCAAAAGGCTCCAGGCGGAACGAGGCAGGAATAGGATCACCGTCAGCGGGGGCGCCGACGGGCCACCATCGGGAGATGGAATCTGCAGCGTAAACGATCTTGCCGGCACCATGGCGGTCCTTCCGGCGGCGGCTAGGGCCTAAGTTTAGGGCTTTTTGGAAGCGGGGACTGAAAGAGGCGGGAATTGGTGAAGGCGTAGGAGTTGATTGATCGGCATCTTTCGAGTGATGCCGCTTGTGAGGAGGAATGTAGGCCATGGCTTGAAACTCTGGTGTAAAGAACTGAATTTTGCCGGTCGGATTCCCTAAGCTTATATCGCCGGATCATGTCGCCGATCACAGGTGACGATTCGTGAAAAGCTGACTTTTTTTGGGAAATGATTCGTCCGAAGTTACTCACTCAGTCGAATCATTTCTTTTACCAGTGAGCACATTCTTGAAAAGGAAAGAGGAGCCTCGTTTTCATTTAGCTTTTTTTTTTTTACTTTTAAAATTAAAAAATAATAATAAGAAAATGATGAAAATAATATATATTTTTCAAAGTATAATATATTTAATTTAATTTTTTTAAATATATTTTTAATTAATTACTTATTTTGTAAATATATTCTAAATAATTTAATAAAATAATGATTGAATCTAATATTGTTATGCATTTGATCATGATGCTTCATATTTGTGATTAATATTTAATTATTAGTTCAATTTGAAAAATAATTTGATCAGTTCATAATTATATATAGAATTAAAATAAATTGGTTCACCAAATATGTAAATAGAATCACAAATTTCAACACTTGATAATTTTTTATACAATAACAACAACATCGAGCCTTCATCCCACTATATGGGGCCAGCTACATGAATCTTTTTTTTTAATCGTGTCATGTTAAAAGTTAAATTATCATTTAAATCTAATAAAGAAAGGTCATTTATAATATTTTCTAACCAAGTCTTTTTTAGGTCTACCTCTACATTTCTTAACATAAGTCAAATCTAATATATCCACTTTCCTAACCGGATCATTAGAAGCCCGCCGTTTTATGTGATCAAACGGTCTAAGGCGACTCTCTCTAATTTTATCTTCCCTCAAGCTACTTCAAACGTTTCATTTATACGTTGTATCCTGTTTTTAAGAGTAAAGCCACTCATCCATCTGAGCATACTCATCTATGTAACACTTAATATTATGATTTTATTTTGATGGCCAACATTCTGCACCATAAAGCATTTCAGGTCTAACATCCATCTTATAAAATTTTTCCTGAAGTTTGAGGGGGACTTTTCTATCACACAACAAGACAAATGCATTCCTCCACTTCAACCATCCAACTTGAATTTTACCAATAATATCCCCATCTATTTCACCACCACTCTGAACAATAGACACAATGTAAAATCCTTAAAAAAAAGCTGATTTTTTTTTGTGCTGTTAGTCCCGTACGATCTGACTTTAGTACTGGACGAACTGAAGAAATTTGTGAAGAAATCTGCCATTTTCGTCTGTACGAACCTGGAGCAGTCGGGACGATCCGTCTGTACGACACACACAAGATATATAAAACATGTATTCTTATTAATGACTTGATCACCCAAAGCATAATTCCCCCACAAGAACTATTATTATTAAAATTACACTCTATATTTTCAGTTTTAGATATACTCAAACAAAAGCTTTTAAACTCTAAGGTTGACCTCCATAATTCAAGTTTTACCATCAACTTACTCTCGTCTTATCAACAAGAATAAATCATCATCAAAAAGCATACATTAGGGTGCAACCTCTTGCAAATGTCATATGCTTTCTCTAGTCTTATCAACCCCTTCCTTTTCTAGAACTCATCATAACACTTCTTTTGGAACTTTATAATACTTTTATCTAAATCAATAAATATCATATGCAAATCCTCCTAATTCTCTTTATACTTCTCCATCAAACCTCTCAATAAATGTATAGCTTCCATAGTTGACCTACTTGGCATGAATCAAAATTGATTTTGAGAAACATTAGTATCACGCCGCAACCTATGCTCCATAACTATCTCCCATAATTTTAAACTATGACACAATAACTTAATTCCTCTATAATTCACACAATCTTGCGCATCACCTTTATTCTTAAAAATAAGAATCTACACATTCATTCTTCACTCGTCTATTATCTTTTTAGTCTTCAAAATAATATTAAAAAGTTTAGCAAGCCAAAAAATTATTTCATCACCTAAGCATTTTCACACATGTATTGGAATATCATCAGGTCCAACAGCTTTTTCACACTTCATTTTCTTTAAAGTATTTCTAACTTCAATTTTACTAATATGCCAATAAAAATAAAAAATATTTATTTTCATTTAGGGTGCTAAGGTCACTAAAGTGAATCACATTCTTATAATATTTATTGAAGAGTTTATAAAAATATCTCATCCGCCTTTGTTAAATATTTTTTTCTGATAAAAGCACTTATTGATCTTCATCTTTAATACACTTCACTTGAACTAAATCATTATTACTCTTATCTTTATGTTTGACTAACTTATACATATATCATTCGCTCTTCATAGTATCTAATATATTATATAAATTATTAAAAGCTAAAATATTTGCATCCAATATTGCTTTCTTAGATTCTTTACAAAGCTCTTTATATATTTCCTCATTATCAAAATTTTTACATCTAAATTGATTTCTATAATAAATATTTTTTATTTTTTATCTTTTCTTGAATATTTTGATTCCACCACCAACTATTTTTACTATTATGAGTTTTTCCCTTTAATACTTTCAATACATCTTTTATAATATTTTTAATATCACTAGCTATTTTTTCCCACATAATATTAGCTTCTTCATGCAGAGACAAAATCTTAAGATCTAGTATCTAACTCTTAAAAATATTTTTATTAATATTATTTAAATGTCCACTTCTAATCATAAATTAATATTTTACTTTATTTTTATTTTCCACCCCTTCATCTTAAAATCCAAAATTAAAAAGTGATGTTATGTATTTCACTTGAAATAACTTTGCAATCTTTGGAATATAAAAGATATATTTTTCTTATAAGAAAAATAAGCAATCTAAGTTTTACTATATCCATTGTTATAAGTTATGAGATGCTCATATAAAAAAATAAAAAATAAAAAATAAAAAAAGTTATGAGATGCCCATATCTTTTCTTAAATAAGATATTAACAATTACAAAATCATAAGCTAAAGAAAAATATAATATGGTCTTATCATCTTCATTAGTCGCTCTCCAAACTCATAGTCAACATGCATGCTTTTAAAATCATCTGCATTTATACCAACATGTCCATTTAAATCTCGTTCAATAAAAAAAATTTCTTTAAGATGTATCTTTTGTATTAATTCTTTCATGTCATTCCAAAATTTTAATTTTGAACTCATATTCAAACTTACTTAAGGATTATAAGCACTTATAATATTAATAATTTTAACATCAACAACAACATTTAAAACTATAATTTTTATATCTAATTCTATTATTTTTTACAATGTTATTCTTTAAACATTTATCTATAATCACACATACACCATTTCTAGTACGACTCTTACAAGAATATTATTATTTAAATTATAAACTATCAATCTCTCTTTAGCTTTCTCTCCAACCCATTTAATTTCTTGCCCATTTAATTTCTTAAATGCATATAATCTTTATTTTCCTATGAACTATAATATCTATTAATTCCATTAATTTACCTATAAGTATACATATATTTCATGTTCCTACCATAATTTTAGTTTCATGGAGTAGCTTCTTTGCCCACATATGTTCATGATGTGGTAACATTTGTCTATTTAACACTACAACTAAGTGTTGATGCAGCGACACTTACACACCTTTTTTTATAAAAAAAAACCCCCCAATAAAAGGGGGATACGCGTTAAAGATGAAAAAGGATTACAAAATTGACATGGGAGTCATCAGAGCAAAAGGGCTCAAAGAGCTACAAACCAAATGAAAAGAAAGAAAAAGATCCAATAGACTCCCCAAAAAAAGAAAGTAAAAGCAACCTAAAAACAAGCTACTGATGCTATAGACTAGCATCCAAAAAAAAAAGATAAGTATATCGCTAAAGTCCCGAGTCTTTCTACAAAAAACCTTGAGGCGACACTTACACACTTATCGCTGTATTCAGGCCATACAACAATTCGATTCCAGAGAACACCCTAGCATTAACACAATATATTAAAAGATTCATGTCATGCTTGTACGACAAATTGTACAATTATTGTTGACTACCTAACGCAACCCTTCACTTTTCTGATAAAGAACTTGGGATCTGACAATGATAATATTACTTGAGAAATTTTTATATTAAAAAAAAATCCTTGTCAATTAATATTGATAGATATTTAAAAAATTCACTTGAACAACACAAATTTAATGTGATATTTGAATTGAAAATTTTTAAATTAAACTTAAAATCATACGAACTCCAATTTCAACAAATTTATAATCACATTAAACATCTTGATTAAACAAACCTATCAACACTATAAATGATTTGATATGAGTCTAAATGAAGCCAAATCAATTATTTGAAGCATGTTTAAAAACTTCTAAACATTGAAGAATCAAATTGTCTTGAAATCTTATGTACTTATAATAGAAGCAAGCGGCTTGACAAAACAAAATTTAACGATCCGAAAATTATTTGATTCTAACATTATTAAGGCACTCAAAATGCTAGATAAATAATCTATGATCAAAGGAATCTCTATGGCTTGTTCAATAAAATATTTTGGATTATAAACCAATTTATTAACATACTCATCTCAAAATAGCTATAAATAAGGCTCTATTTTCTACTTGAAGGGAGATTTGAAATATGGAAGAGATAAAGAGCTCTATTGTATTTTCTAATAATCATTACAAATGACAAAAATTATCAATCATTACCACCTTCATTGGATATTCATGATCGGACTATTATCACTTGATTATTAACATCTAATCATATCACAAAATTTTAATAATCAATTCTTAGACACTTGATTTTTTGTAATCCCTACTATAGGAATCAGATAATTGTTCTCAATTATTTATAATTTCATCTTCAATTACGAGGAATGAAAAATTCTTGTATCTTTCGTTATTGAATGTATTCATTACAACTAGTTCAGCCCCCATTATTATCATATGATGTTATCACCCTTAACACTTCAATCTCCAATATAGATAACAAAACTTTCCACTTTTATTGATATGATTGGCCATTTTGTCCCTTTAATGACAATGATCTTTGAACCACTAAAGATATGTCATCATGGCAATAATTTCTCTCTTTAAAGTTTTCCTTGCAATCATGCTTTGTATTCAAGAAAGATGAACTTTTCCTAATTTTCTTAAGATAATGGTCCACCTAATTAAAGATAAGATTGACTAAGGCAACAATAAAGATATGAACAAGCAATGACCATAATCATATAAAAGAATGCATTATTTATGTCCATTCATAATTACAAGCATACACTTAAAAAAAAAATCATAAAATATGAATGGCCAAAGCTTAAGTAGCCACTGAGCTGCTTATCTTTGTTTCTACACTGTTACAAATCCCAGTAGTGTTGATGAATGAAGCTTCTCCCACTGGTTTTGAGAAGCCCATCATTGCAACTCATCAGTTTTGACAAATCCAAGTTCATAATCTACCTTCATCTTCTTAAAATTTTATAGCATTGAAAAAAAAAATAATAATAAAAAAAACCTGTCTTCAGCCAAGAATTATTACTGAGCTATATCTACTTGAACAGCAACTAAAGAATCAGGAAGAGGAAATGGCAGGGAGATGCAGGAGAAAGTCCCAACACTTGGAATTCACAAAAGTTTTTTTAGCAGTTTCAGAAGTGTTATAAGTTAAGTGGAAAGGCCTCATTCAAGAGAGATTATTCTGTGCAGACACCGGATAGTCCGGAGACTAATTAGAAAGCGTCACATCATAATACCGAGTGGTACCGAGCACCGATACCGAACAAAAAAAGGTGACGTGGGGCGTTCTGGTTGATCTCCGGACGCCATTCGGGATCCGCATTCGCAGAGAATAATTTTTCCTCATTCAAAGAGAACTAAATAAACAAAAAAAGAAGGCATCAACTTAGTTCCAGGGAAATAAAGTATTCCATATATTAAATGCTTAACATCAAACTCGCTACAGAAACTTTCTTTTTCAAGCAGGTAGTTTATACAGAACTAAAGGCTACAACTATGATGCACGGACACGGACACGGCGACACGGACACGACACGACACGAACACGGGACACGGCATTTTTTAAAAATATAGGACACGGGTGCGGCGTGGACACGGCATAATAATTTTAAATATAATATATATAAATTAAGGTAATATTATATTAAAAATGGCAAGCAATATTAAATCAATGTCATGATAACTTGTTTAGCTCATAACATAAAGATGTTTAATGAATGAATGAGTATGTGCTCCAATTTCTCTCACAACAGGAAGAGGATGATACTTGACCAAGAAGTTTGATTGCTATTGTTTGAAGAAGAGGTGCCGACGCTCCATGAATTAACCACCACATTTTTGGATCCATCCTCCATCTATCAACCAAAGATTCTTGATCACCAAAATCCTCTAAATAACCAAAGAACTTTGCAAGTTCTATATTAATTTTTCTTCTCTCCTCCTCATTTGGAAAATATCTTTTCAAGCATATCTTTCTCATATTTGAAACTTCTAAATCTTTTTGTGGTGAGACACGTTGAGGGTCTTCTAGAAGCCATTCTTTACTTGAATACCTTCAAATAATACAAAACATATAAATTACATGTTCATTAACTAAGAAATTTAAATTAATTTAAAAGATGAATATGAATGTACCTTGGATTTAATGAATGAGCCAAACAATGCAAAGGTGTGTTGCTTTTGCTCCACCTATCCTCAAGAATGGTATAGACAACACTCCAAAAATTTGAGTCTTCATCATTTGACTTTCTTTCATGTCTGTAAATAATTTCTTTCACTTTTGCTAACATAGAATCCCACATCTCATAAATCAAATGTAGACATGATTTATCTGTGTCAGCCTCTCTCAACATATCATAGATTGGATCAGTGAAATCCAAAATGTAGTCTACATTATCCCACCACAAATCATCTAAGATCTTTTCTTTAACATACCTTGCCTTCCCAACATCATCTTCTCGATAGCAAGACCACTTGTCACTAATCACCATAGATTGAAGAGCATTTTTAATTTGCTTGAATCTTCTCAACATGATTATCACAGAGGCAAAACGAGTTTCAGCAACAGCTAACATTCTCAAGTGGGAGAAGTCATTAAACATTGAAAGTCTCATTGAATGGTTCATAATAAAATTTCTGATCAGAACAGCATCATCTGCAACCACTGTTATCCAATGACATTCAGCATAAATGATTTCATTTGCCTCTGTATTCTTTGCTGCACAAATATTTTTTAGTGCCAGATTTAAAGTGTGCACAACACAAGGTGTCCAGAATATATGGGGATAAGATTGTTCAACTAACAATCCTGCAGCTCTGCATACCGGTGCATTATCTGTAATAACCTGCACAACATTTGAAGGCCCAATCAAGACAATCACCTCTTTAATCAAATTTGCAATAAAAAATTTATCCTTGTATTCTCCTTCACAATTGACAGCTTTAATAAACATAGGATAATTCTCTGTAATGGCCATAAAATTTATGAGTGGTCTTCTTTGAGGATCTGTCCAACCATCACACACCAAACTAACACCTTTTTCTTTCCAGACTCCTTTCGTCGGTTCAAGCAATGTCTCAATGTGTGCTCTTTCCCTTTCCAATAATTTTGATCTTAATGCATTGTAACCAGGTGGAACATATCCTGCAAGGTTATTGTTACATGCAAAACTGAATGCATTTTTATAGTAAGGATTTCTTGCAAGGTTGAAAGGTAAGCCCGCTGAAAAAAACATCCTTGCTATTTCACCATCTAACTCCTCTCGCTGCTGCAAGCTGAAAGCCTTCTCTAAAGGACTACTAGCAACTCCTTTTCTTTTCTTTGTTTGATAGCCTTCACTTCTGAATGATAAAGAATGATCAACTCTAACCGATGAGGAAGAAGCATGGGACGAACCATGGGTAGATGGCAAAGGTATCTCCTTAGGGAGTGCCCTTTTGATCCTACATTCAGCTTCATCAACTAGTCTGTTTATTTCAATCAACTGCGAAGTAGTAATCTTGGGACACATTTTAATTCCATGGCCAGCTATCTTAAGTAGATGTGCTTTCACCCTAGAATATGATCCTTTGTAGGTTCCACCACAATAATTGCATTTGAATGAAACATTCCCTCCTCCTTCAAATGTTTTTCCTAACTTGGTAACATGAAGCCATAATGGCTTATCAGTTTCTACAGATTGTTCTTTTGAACCTTCGCCTAATGCACTCCCACCAGCCGTAGAGCTCATTTTGCTTTAAAATGCACTGGTAAAATGGAAGTAATAAATGCTTAAAAAATGTCTCAAACTCATTTCAATAAAAACATAAATCTCTCTCACAATAAAACCACTATTTCAAAATGCAAGAACAACCTACAAAACCAAAAGCAAAAGCAAGAAAAACATGTGGATTCATCCAATTCCTACAGCAAGAAAATCATGTTGTTATCTTTTAAGTTTCTTTAGCTTTAATTGCAATGCACATTTATTACAGAAGGTTTTGTTGTGTGACTTGTGTCCTTTCTAATTTCTAAGCAGTTAACACATTGTATTTCAAACATGTATTTTTTTTTAACATTAATGATGAAAACTTGAGAAGTCTCAGTACAATGAATAACTTGAGAAGTCTCATGTATTCTGGGATCAATCCTTCATGTGGTCAAAGCCAAAACGAGCTACTAATTTTGATGTTAAGAAATTATCCTAACATAAGTACATAACACTTATGATAAATGAACACAAAAATATTTCTAACATAACACTTATGAATTCACGATTTCAGTTCTCTTTTGTATTGCTAAAAACTTAAACAAGATTGGGATTTAATTTAGGTAAAACAAGAATAATCGCATATCCTATAAACTAGGGTTTCATTTAGGGTTTTTTTCAAAACCCAAAACAATCAAAGTAATTTCAGAAAAAATTAACACGCTCTTGTGAACACAAATCTATATGATAAATGAGAAAAAAATTGAGAGAAATGACGAATGGCGAAAAAAATTCTAGGTCAAACTTACAGAGAAATGACGAATGACGAATGGCAGCAAAAAATTCTAGATCCGAAATCTGGATCGGCTGCTCGGGAAGGTCGGAAGAAGCCTGCTCGGGACGCTCGGAAGGTCGCCTGCTCGGGACGCTCGGACGGTCGGAAGCAGGAGGCGACGGTGCGGGCTGGAGCGTCGATCGGCTGCGCGACTCCTCTGCTCGGGACGGCTGGAAGCTCGCGTGCTCAGGACGGCTGGAAGCTCCGCCTGCTCGGGACGGCAGCGACTCCTCTCGACGGGATTAGCGACTCCGCCTGCTCGGGACGATGGCTGCGCGATCTCGCTCGAATGAATTAACCGGATTAGGGTAAGGGCTTATTAGGTGTTCTTTTTGTTTTTTTTTTTTTTTAATATGAAATAACCGGACACGCGTGTCCGATTTTTTTTTTTTTAAACAGGACACACCTAGAACGTGTCGGACACGTGTCCGTGCCGTGTCGGGCGCGTGTCCGTGTCCGACACGTGTCCGACACTGCATTGCCTCTTAAAACGAAGTGTCGGTGCATCATAGGGCTACAACAATCTCTTCTTCAGCACAAGCATTTGCAATTTTACTAATATTATTATGATATGGGACCAAATTCTTACAACCAAAATGAAGGAATTCACTGCATTAATACAAACTTGAAAGAAGATAAGTCAAATTCAACTGAATCAAGCCTGATGTTGTTAAACAAGTGAACATAAAAGCAATAAGCAAATGTGGTACCTGGATCAAATTGTCTGGTGGTTGAGAGCTTGGATTTTTTAATAAATAGCATTCTCAAGCCAAGAAATCAGCAGGAATTCCATTGATCTGCTGTAAAGCTTAAACTAAGGTTTGTTTGGGACGACTTTCTTACCGCTTCTTAAAGCAGTTTTTTAGTACAAAAAATAAAAATTTCGTATTAGAAAGCTGCTTTAAGAAGCAGCAAGGAAGTTGTCTCAAACAAAACCTAAAAGAAGCACAAGCATACATCCATGTGATTCCTCTCAGAAAATTCATTCACAAATAACATGGATTCTACTTCAACCGCTTGATTTTCTTTGCCTGTGCATGTATGGTAGGCAATGGAACCTTTAACAAATTCTGAAGCACATCAACTGCATTAGTAAGATCATCATCTTGTAAGCACAAGTCCATTGGAGAAGCGAAGAGGACTTCATTGACATCTTCCTCTAGTTCCAAGGAAAAGAGATGGTTGAAAACCTAAGATAATAATGAACAATTGAAATAGTTAGGCAAACTATAGCTTCCAAGGTGGTTGTCTTCATATTGTCACTATGGCTTCGTTTGGGACGGCTTTTTTGTTGCTTCTTAAAGCAGCTTTTTAGTACAAAAATTAAAATTTTTATACTAGACAGCAGCTTTTAAGAAGCTACAAGAAAGTTGTCCCAAACGAAGCTTTAATGCTTACCGCTTTCAATCTAGAAATGACCATCAGCCTGATTGTTGAGGATCTGGACACCAAATTAATCACGAATAGGCCTCCAAGAGAAAGGAAATCCTTCACTGATGAAAGGAAAGCTTCTTCCACAAATCCTGCTGGAGGACAGGCTAACCCAGAGCTAAACAAGAAATAAAAAATGAAAATTTCAAAAAATGCCAGAATTTTTCAAGGTATACTGCAGTAATTTAGGTTACCTTAGATCGGATGAATCAGCATCAACAATGACGATCTTCATACTCAAATCATCTTTATGCTTAGCAGCAGCTTCAGAAGGATATTGAACATTTGCATTTTGAATAAATTTAATTCCATCACCAATATGAACCTGAGAGAAACGAGTTACTAAGATGGTCCAAACAAAACACAAGTGATCCAATTTTAGGATCTCAAGCAAAAAAGCTTAATTAGTAAAAATATGAATCAAATACATGGGACCATATCCAAGTTAGATTATTTCCATTAAATTGTTTCAACAAATAAATAAGTTTCTATAAATTGTAGAGGTAGAAATTAGTTTTAAAAATGCATATTATAATTCAGACAACTTCAGCGCATGTAAATGAAAAAATATAATTTCATTTGAGATAGGACTAATGAACACATCATTGAAACAATACATATTATATTTCAATAAAATTCATCTGATCAAAAGCAAGAATCTCGTTGGAAACTTCACTATACCATTTGAGGGAACGCATGACGATATATAAAAAATAAGAAATTAGAAAATGCTTTACGCAATGAAATGTCACAATTTTTTTTATAATTGTATAAGTGATGGGAAACAAATAATATCCTTTACATATCCGCCCAGTTTATCGACTTTTTCGGAAATGCTAGAACAAAGAATTTCTTTATACATAATAGAAAAACTATACGACAAAGATCTTTATAATTCTTACGACAAATTTCACATGCGTATATTAAAAATTAGTTTCTCGTTGAGATAAATCCAACAAGCCCAATATCACTCAACTATAAGTTTATTGAGACACTTAGATGTTTGAAAATACTGAATGATCAAGTTAATCAACTTCTGCAGTCTGATAAAAGTGCCATGAATTCTGGTTGAATTGGACAAGGTACTCCTTCCAAAATTTTGTAAGTAGATATTGCTTCAACACATATAAGAAAAATTCCATATGAGAGAATTTTGTGGCTCAAAGAGTACCAAAACTATGGTTGCCAACATCCAATATATGTAATTGACCATAGCTACGCTTGCCATTGATATTGTCAATGAACATCATTGTCTGCAGATGAAGCCCACCGCCAACACCAATTTCCACCCTCTGTCGAACAATGCTGACATCCATCGTTTATCAACACCCATTACCAAACCAAGTTGATGTTCAGCGTTCGTCATAATACATCTTCGACAAATGCCAATGCAAGTTGCCTTATCATGTAATCAAGTCATCTCCAATGGCATAAAAGGGTAAATCGTTGCAACTTTCCACCTACATAATAGAATTATTTCAACTAGGTCAAGCCCTATAATTTTTTTTTCCCTCAACACTTTCAACATAGTGGGATAAAGGCTTGATATTGTCGTTGAATGCTTTCAGCAAAAAAAAGCCTTCTGCTTCTTATAAGCCGCCATCTACTTATCTCTATGTGCGATGGTTTTTTATGTGATACTAAGATGATAAACTCACCCTCTACCTGCACAAATATTCTCGCACGCAACAATACTACTCTTCCACAACCGCCCACATGATAGCTTTGAAATTCTCGGCTTTATCTTCAATGTGCTGTCCAAATTCATACACTCAACTTCCAACAATAGAAAATATGCTGAATGGATGGCAATCCACGCAGAATAATCCAGCAATACATAGGAGGAGAAAGAAAAGCTGATGATGAGCTTTTATTGGAGTCGATCATTTCTGAGATCTAATTCCAGATAAAAAATGTGATTCCTACTTTCACTGAGAAGATAAAGAGGGAAGTACCAAGAACTAAAGAATATTCAAGTAAACACAGATGAAAGATTGTTCAATAATAGTTCCATTGCACCTTGGTTTTGGGTATGTTTACTGAGTTTTTAACACAATAATTACAAATTGCCACATGAAAGTACAATTTATGTAATTTACGTAAGCAAATAGCCTGTAGCTAACATTCAAAAGCAAAGTAGAGAAAATTCGGCATTTTTTTAACATAGGGAAAAATGAATGAAAGATGAAGAATTGCTTAAGAAAATGATTAGGTCAATGAAAATAACCTTCAATTGTACATCCTCCTTGAAATCAAAGTAATCCTTTGCAAGCTCCAAGACAACAGGATCCAACTCTACAACCTGCATAAGAGTGAGCATTGAAACTCTGAAAAGCAAGTTGACATATTATTAAGGACTAACCTCGATGTCTAAAAACGGAAGGCAAATGTGAAGAAATGTGGGAAAAAGGCCAGCACCAAGACCAACTACGATCACTCTGACCTGCAAGCATTGAGTAATTTTTTTAAGCAACAAAAGAATGTTTACTTCTAAAGATTACTAACATTGATAAGGAAATAAGATGTAATGTTAACATTGTTATATTCTGCCTAACAAAGAAAACTCTAGAATATGTTAAAACTTAAAAGCAACAAAAAATTGCTCAGAGTTACCTATTGATGAAACCGTTCTATTTATTAACTTCAAGGTAGAGCATTACCCTTTCTTGCAATGAAACTGCATTTTGCAATGCAGAAGCTACCAGAGAGAAGCCAGAAACGATTCCACTATGATAAGAGCTTGCCAGAGAGCTATGGTCAATCTCCATATTGTCTTTAGATCCTAATTTAGTAGATGAGAACAAGAATAATAAAAAGCATAAAAAAGGTTTCAGATCTTTTCATGGTATAAAAATTCAAGCAAAATTAATTCAAAATCCTTCAAAATGAAGAGGTGAAAATGGTAAATAAACTTTAGAGGGAAATACAAAACGTTTGATGAATAAATAGATGATCCCAGCTAAGAAAGAAAAACTTAGCCAACATTATGTAGAAGAACATTTAACTTTTATGGACAAAATATTTGAATAAGCTCAAAAGAAATTCAAGTAAACTTCTACAAAAAAGAAAGGCATTAAATACCATCAGACGATATAGATGTGCCATTTCTTTTCCGGCCTCCCTTTTTAGATTTTGAAGACAAACTGGTTTGCCTTTTATCTGCTTCAATAGAATTACTTTTGGGTTTTAAAATTAACAGGGCTTCTGATTGAACCAACCCTGAGCTTCGCTCAAAAACTAGGCGACGAAACCTCTTATTTTCGGAACCAATATGATCAGAATTGATGCCTTCAGCAATATTGTCATAAATCACGTCTTCAACAATAATTGGCCCTGTTGTCTTAGATGTAGCCTACATGACAAAATGCATATACAAATTACTAAAATAATGAGATAAGTGTCGCGCAGTCATTAATAGATCAATGGGTATATACACTTGTATCCAATGACAATGCAGAACAAAAACATATTGATCATTTGAAAATGGTGATATTCATAATTAAAGTTTAAAATAAAACACATCAAATTTTCCGATTGCTTTTTTTAATAAAACTAGAAAATTTTATTACAAGTAATAGGAAAAAATTACAACACAAAACAACTGCAAAAAAATTCTAGAAGAGAAGGATAAAAAATAAAATACACCATGAAGACCAATGAAGCCAAAGCCAAGCCAGAAGAGATTTGCCTCTCATGATATGTTTAATAGATTAAACATGACACCTAAGAACTTTAATTGTACTAACTTCTAAGAAATAGTTCTATGAGCATGCATCCTAAAATGGACCTTAATTGGATTGCTTTGGACAAGTAAGTTCTTTATAAAGTTTGCACGATGGAACTCAACATTGTCCATTTCCATGATGAGTGATTGACAAAAAGTAATTTTAGCATTGGATGGGCAATGCAGAGAGGCCAACAAATAAAATGTGAGACAGACTATTTTTTATTTCTCCTTTGAGTTACATCATTGATTTGTTGGAAATATGGCTTGAAGAAGATAAGTATGAGAGTTCATACTTTAGTAATTTTAGCATTGGATGGGCAATGCAGAAAGGCTAACACATCAAATGCGAGACAAACTATTTTTTTATTTCTCATTTGAGTTATATCATTGATTCATTGGAAATATGGCTCGAAGAAGATAATTATGAGAGTTCATCCATGAGCAACTAAACAGGGATTGTTGAAATCACCATATGCAAATGATAAAGAACTATCATGGTTCCTAGTTAATGAAGGTAAGTAGGTTTCCCACATTCAATGCCAAATAGCTGTCCCAAAAAAAATATCAATATATTGAGAGTAAAAAATTTATGCACATCAAATCACACATATAGTTAAAGAATCAAAGATTTTTAAATGGAAAATTACAAAGGGAAAAATTAGAGGGCAAGGACAAGATAAGAAACTTGCACCATAAGACTAAATAGGTAAATTAGAGTTTGTCTCGCTCCAAAGTCCAAATAACTTGGGAACATCATTATAATGTTTGCATTGAGGCAAACAAGATTTAAATGATGTTGAAGGCACCGATTATTATGGTCATGTACATAGACTTTAAGTGTAATAAAAGTGAGCAAAGGCACGATCAATGGCATTTTAGGGTGCTATGAACACGAACACCGATAACTTTGGATGGTGTCACACGAGCAACATTATGCTGTCAACCACAACTAGGAAAGATGATTATCATCAATGTTGCCTTAGATGGCAACAACAAATGGTAAAATGTTGTCACCATCGACGAAGAATAACATCATCTCATTGATGAGAAATAACAGAAATCAACTGCAACTTGCACCATGTCATCAGTATCAATAGCAAACAAGATCGCATCATCAATGAATCACACCATACATCAATAATAAACTACTACGCTAATCATCATTAGCAAGCAACATTGAGCATCAACATCAAGCAACATTATATCATTGTCACCTATCAAGGTCATATAAACAAGTTGCTCTTGACTTTAATATTTACTCCATAATTTGATCCAATTGAACATGACAAAAAAAACAAGAGACGTGACATCGCACAAGTTCGACTCAAAACATCTCGATTGAAATTAAAAATGCTCATTCATCACTCATTTTGTATGCGTATGTAGCGTTAAAATTGCAAAGAATGGACCCCTATGTTATAAAATCACCGCATGAAAATAAAAATGCAAAATTTACCAATATGCATGACGAGGATGAAATTTTGATATGCATAAGCAATGAGAATTAATGATAGTCAGCCCACACACATTCTAAATTTTTTACCAAGAAGTTGATGCCATTTTACAGATAATCAACCAAATATTTTTGCGTCATGACAATCACATTAAATATGATGATTGACAAACCTCTTTTATGACTTTTTAGCTATTATCTCACAGGTATATAGTTATTGTTGTATTTGATATTTTAAAAACATCCTTTATAGGCATTTTAATTACATAATATAAATATCTAGTTGATGTCGTCTTTTAAAATTAATAGATGATCATATGCCTGATGCAATGATTGTTTGTGTCAAAATGGCAAGTTACTTTGTTGTATTATTTATTCTGATATGACATAACCTTTAGGTTCCTTCAGCTAAACCGTTTCAGCTGATGCATTCCAATGGTCTTTAGTTAATTTCACAATCTTGCTCAATTTTAATGTACTTACTGTACCTGCAATCACTATATATTTTGAAGATAATATAGTGATATCATTCATAAATGATTTTTGATCACTACTTTATGTAGTTAAGTTGATGTCACTATTTTGTATAGAACTTTGTCAATTTTAGGTATTCCAATCATCATAAATCCTTATAAGCTTCAGGCACGTTGACATCTAGATTGAGATTCAAATCATTATCCTTCCAGATATGAAGTTAATTTATGACCTCTGTCAAGAGGTCAACTTCAAGTCAATTAAACACATCTACCTCAATTGTATTAACTGATAGGCCTCCTCATAGAGATAACTTGTGGACACAACAATTTGTCCTCTACCACGTGTTCATCTTAACAATATTTAATGAACCTTAAAAGTTAATTTTAAAAAATGATGATCAAATAGGAGATGGAAATAATTTTTTTCACTCTACTTGTGATTGGGTATCTTGTAAGCTTGCTTTCCCTTAATGAACTTATTTTATAATAATTTTTAATCAAGTCTTCCGACTCCATTTTTCAATCCAATCCATTTGTTGAGTCATGCTCCCTATTTAAGAGACTTCTCTTGGATATGGAGGATACCTGCACAACTGGGACGTTGTCAAATTTCAATGGAACTCTCCACAAAAAAAAATGACTAGCAGTAAGTTTAGACATAAAAAAGCACATCTAATAATTAAACTGCCAAAAAAAAAAAAGAAGTTGAAAAGGCAATTTAAAAAAAACAAATAAAAGAAAAACAACGCAGGCCAGCACAAAATCAACTAGAGGATGAAAGATCAAATACTAGATAAATCGTAACGACTTAGTAGCAACAATCAACAACACGGGCCTGCATAAAATCTGTGGGCTCCGAAAATTCGACCCCGGTCTCCACTCGCTTTTCTTATTCGGCGAGGGAGTTTTAACTGAATAAGTTCCGAGGTAAATTTTGGAAGGCAGATGGGTTTGTAGATAAGACACTACCCAGAGATTTCGCCCTCATTTTGTGAGGACTTTATGATCTGAGTTCTGGTTTCCTATAGGCGCAAGCCCCTATAATTAATTACCCCTC